CTTATGCTTCTGGCTCTCTTTGAAGCTACTTAATGGCTTGGAGATGCACCTTCCAAAAACCCAGCAACATTCATCCTTCAGTTGCGGTTCAGTAGAGTCACAATGTGCCTTCTTTCTGCTCATCCCCACCGCTTCATTGTGGTAATAGTGAATAGCCTAAGTTTCTCTAAAACCGTGATTCCTTAGTGGATCGTGCTTCCTCACGTCCGTTAACTCGGTCGTCGCATGCTCCACCAAACCGACCTCCTTAACACGGCATGCCTATCGACCTTGCAAGACTGTCTGCTCAAACACGCCTGTGGGCTAACCCCACCCCCTCCCCCACGCTACCCGTTCAGGCTTTTATGCATTTGCAGCATCGTCCAGGCTGTGTTGATCGACAACCCATTTGGCCAGACACGATTTTTATGTGCTCGGTGTCGCGAAAATCACAGCCAGGTTGGTCGACCTAGTAAACGGATGTCTCTGCTACCTCTGGTCTCCTGACTTTCGCGGTCCCATCCAACACATTATGGGACCTTCAGCAATTCAACTGCAATAGTCACCTTTTACTGTGGTTCTTGGGTTTCCGAATGTGCCATTTTGAAGAACGAAGCAACATCCTCAAAGTATAAAGTGCATCTTTAGTTTTCTAATAGATTTGCCCCGAATTCCAGCACACCTTTCACTAATGAGATTGCATACTGTTGATAATTGAAGCTGTTTGCAAGTAACTGCAACCCCCAAGTCACCAACTTGTTTAATATTGCATTTCGATTCGAAACGGAATAGGTTGAAAAAGCATCTACATTGATGCAGTTTTGAAAGGCTAGTTTGTCACTAATAGTGGTCAGAGCAAAGCGTTCAGTTCATCGAACCAATTGTACGTATTATGCAAATGTCGGCGTCGTTGATTTGACCACTGAGTCAACAATCTGGGTCACTCTTGGACTAAAGCAGTAAAAGCCTGTGACGGACATATGTGGTGTATAGACGGGATCGCTAAAACACCCCAGAAAACGCGATTGCTTAGCAACCGCATATTGATAGTGGACAAGCCTTCAATGAAATCTGGGCCTAGGCAGCCGTGAGCATTGAACGACAAACCGACTGTGTGATTAGAAAGAATTACGTGATTAATTCGACCACGGTATGTCAATATTTATTTACTTCTTCTACCTAGAACACTTCTTCTGACATCGTTTTTTACCATTTACTGTGTTGCTGCAATGATGGCGGAAAAACACGCTTTTTTACATGTCCTATGAATAGGAAATTCGATGTTTACGTCCTTCATTTTGCAACAAACCTGTTATAGGCCATGCGGTCGTTTAGCCAAAACTGGTTATGTTAATCGCTAGATTGGGATGATACAAGCGGGTTAGACAACAGTACGAACGGGTCTTTTGATTTGTGCAAATCACTGTTAAGGATCAACACGATTGAGCCATTCGGATCTCTATAACAAACCCTGAAAAGACTAGCCAATCAAACTATCAGGTTTCGATTCACGTGATTGGTTAATCGTAGTCGTACTCAATTACTGATCGCCAACTCGATCTTTTACTTGCCATATGTACACAGCGAAGATCAATGCGCTCACGTGACACAGGCCGTACTACCAGCTTTTAAGCAAGCTAAAATGTCGTCTTGAAGTGGCAATGCTTAGAAAGCTAAAATCCACAAATATTTAGACGGTCACGTTTGTTGTAGCAGCACTAATCAAGACACGACTTGGGAGGGATCGGCATCGACTAGATCAACTCAGCCAAATATCGGACCAATTAGAATTATCCACAGCTGCGATGAATACCACTCCCAGTTCAGCCAATCAAGAATAAGCACTTCGACTCACGTGATTGGAGCATTTTAGGGATCTTCGTTGCGCATTTCGAGGGACTTTCGTTGTCTTGGTTTCAAGTAAATCTTTGAGCTAAATGAAATTTTACACCGCAGATTGCCTCTTACTTCCGGAACCTTTGAAGTAACTACAGTAAACTAAATTTGCGTAGTTGTAAACAGTGAAGGTTTAGCTCGGACGACCTTGAATTGTACTAAAGCACCAATCCACCGCAAGCCGAATAAAATACGATCACTGTCAGGTCCTTTACACCATTTTGCCTGCTTGGAATATTTTATAATACCAAAATCAGTAGCTCAAATGGGGCTAGTTCAGTAAGTGGTTGAAATTTCCCCACATGATACCCGCAGTGGGAATCGTGTAGATTTTGTTATTTACACGGGTTGGCCTTTCCAAATAGCGGGTTTCTTTGAATACGTGGTCTGATGGGTAGTTGTGTGTGGAATAATTCGAATCCGGCATTTTCGTCATGACTACGCGAAGCTCATTAACGTTGAAGGTCTTCGCGTTGTCTGAGGCCGCGGAACATGCCTGTTCACGGGGATTTCTCACACTAATTTAGCGCCTGTCCAACTAAAGTGTGCGGCAGCTCAAGGGTACAAAGACGCGGCTGACTGACATTATAAGTCCCCTTCCGGGGATAACGTGCGAACTTGCCTGGAGATGTCGGAAATTCCCCCGTCGATGGTCTGTCTCTTGACCTGTCAGATTGATTGGTTGGCTAAAAATCGATATCCGTTTAGCACACACAAGCGTGGTTAGTGCAACTAACCGTCCATTATCATCGTATGCGTTTGCTAAATCTTCCCACGTGGGTGGATGGATAAGATTGGGAAAAATGAGGGAGAACATTGCCAATGAGACTGACATCTTGAGCAGGAAGTTATGGGAAGTGGAACCAACCTCCGAACAAGAACACTGACTCAATAGCAAAACATCTAACAAGCCCACAAATGTACCCCGATTTCTGCTAATTTATGTTCTGAATTGGGAAATTCAGGTGGACCAGAAGTGGATGTCGCACTAGTGTAACAAGGAAATTTCGTCTTTAAGCTTTGGAGACACGTTTCATTAGGATACTAATGATGAAATTGATCTCTTTGGCAACGTGAACCACTTTCCTCGAGGAACACCGAAACATGATCCGTGCGATCACGTGATGGGTTACATTACTAACCCATCTGCACACAACTGCAGCTACGTGTGTAGCCTCTCTTACACAGACCCTTATTAGACAAGTTAAATTTAGCATTTGGTTACTGGTCCTGCTGAGTAGGTTTGCTTGAACGTGAGGATTACTTAGAAAGCCACTACCAAATAGGGAGTAAATGTTGTCTCGGCCCAAGGCAGACTTCCATTCTGATTGGCAGGTGATACGATGTTCTGATTGGTTGGCTGTGTTGAACAGCAAGGCAGTGTCGCTATTTGTGTAATTTTACAGTCCTCAATGTGTTTTTAAGATAAAACAAGAGAGGACGACGAACTTAGTCTTGCAAATATTGTCCCTCGTTTCCCATGACCTTGCTCCATCACTCCGATAAGGCACAAATTCCGTCGCGAACAAATGGTAGTCGGAAGAGGGGGCCAAGTCTGGTGAATATGCTGAGTGTGGAAGAACTTCCCACTCCAAGTTCAAGAGGGTCTTGTGAGTCATTCAACCAAAGAGAGATGGTCGAGAGTTGTCAGGCAGCAGCAGCCGTATGGCTTGCCTGCTTCCTTGCCCAGTTACTGATCCTTTCTGATCAAGTTCCTTGCTCAGTATGTCCAATTGTCGACTGTTGCGTTACGCAGTCACCGTCCTACACCCTTCATGTCCCACCAGACACAGATACCAGATACCCTCTTCAAGTGGATGTCCTGTGTCGGCCTCGATGCATTGGGTTGCCTGGCATCTAGCTACGACACCTTTTTACGTTTGGGGTCCTTGTAACAAAAAAGGTATACTTTTCATCAACCGTAGTGATTTTTCACAAGTTCTTTTTTGTGTCGGCGGGCAAGCAGTAAAAGGCATGTGATCATACGTTGACCAAGGAGGATCTGTTTGGGGGGTGACCCAACTCCCAACTTGCAGAATTTTCCCATTTAGTGCAACTGATTAGAAATAGCTGTTTGGGTGACTCCGAACTGAGCTGGAAGCTCTTGCTGTGGTTACGCTGAGTCTTCATCCAGTAGAGCTTGCAATTTCGGGTTTTCAAACTTTCTAGGTTGTTGTCTGGGGTGCGGCTGGTCACTAAGATCGAAATCATTACCTCCAAAACGTTTGTACCAGTAATTACTCGTTTCATAAGCAACACAGAGTCAGAAGCATGCTGTAGAAGAACTTTTCCGTGTTGTAAATCGTAAAAAAATGCAGAGCTATCGAATGTGCTGTTCAACGGCTGCTATCATAATCTCTGATATTCTGAGACACTACGTAATTCAAATAAACTTGTCGTCGACTGGCTCTCAATTTGTGTCCCCATCATCTCGGCAAAGCAACCAAACACGTCATACCGTGACCTGTGATTTGAGAATTTAAGTGTGGTCGCCCACGAGGATAGATATTTGGACCAATAATTTTGTCACTTGGTGCTGGCTACCTCCTTATCTCCAAACGAACCCATCCAGAGTGCATGCTTTGCTGTTGAGAGTCGTAATCAACCTCTTCGCTTCAAGTCTACTTTGTTTTCTATGTTTGCTAACTGTATTCTGAATAAACCCCAACTTTACAGCGTTCTGGCTACGAATGATTGTAAAGTGCCCTCTTTGTTTAACTGGACTATCACCATCCACGTGGTTGGCTAGCTTGAATTGTTCACTTACACCAACTAACCACCCAGCGTGCAGCTCGAGTGGTGGTCGAAATTAGTAATTAACCAGCTCGTTTTGTAGGTTCTATTCAGTGATACTTGCAATTTAAAGAGCACAAATCTACGTCCTAATCGATAATAAACGGTAATTGGAGGCAGCTCTGCCATTATTTGCATAAATGACCTCGGTGCGTTAATTCTGGTGGATAAAGCCAATGTATACAATCTGAGGGTTTATTGCAGGCACACAAAAGTGCAATTGCACGAGGCAGTGGGCAGGGCGAATTGTCGTTTCAGATTGATGAAAACGCCTATTCAGAAATTGTCTGCACATCCTTGAACGTGCTACGCAGGATGGTGTCTTTTACAAATTACGAATCTTTGCGGTAATAACTGATGCCTTTCATAAATTGCGACTCCACCCTGGATGCGTCGAAGAGTCGACTGAACATGCGTGAGGGACCAGTCGAGGACTCCCATGACTTGAAGACTACTCGTCCGAGTAGCCGATCCTTCAACTCCTGGACCCTCAGAAGCGCGTCGGACTCAATGTCATCGACCACTTTGATGGGAGCATTGTCCTCCTCAGAGGTCCTCTTCGGTGATCGATACAAACCGCGACTGAGGCATACATGCAGGTAGGTGTTGTCCAACCGGTGTTCCACGAGGCCCTGCAATTTCGTGCTCTTACGGTACCACCAGATGGGTATCAGGATTAATAGGGTCAAGTCCACCAAGCAGGCAAAGTTGTCGATTGTCGCCTTCAGCATCCAACTGTGGACGAAGTGCCTCGGCACTAAACGGCTTCTGAGAGTGTACAGATCAATGCTCAGTTTCACGAGAGCAACCGTTGCCCTAAATGCGGCCACGTGACAACAGTAATACGACGCTGGAGACAATTTATGAAGGGAAAGTTTGATCTTACGAGCGACGTTTTCGAGGAGCAAGGACATGAAAGAGTGTCGTGGATGCGTGAATTGAAGGTAAGTTAGCGTCTTCTTCAAGCTCCGATTTCTTGCGCTTTCGACTTTCTCGAGAAGGAAGACAAGCGAGAAGGCGATTAGACTGTCGCACAGAAGAACACGGTGATAGTTCAACCACAGAAAGAGGATCTGAGGCTTTTGTGGGTGAAAGTCGCAGACGGTTATATTCCAGACACGCCAGCGGTGGGTTAACAGAACAACCGGCAGAGAGGTCATTAGCGCCGTGATAAAGGCCGCGAGTAAGCCCGTGGAAATGTTCAGAAGATGTGCCACGTCCTGACTACGCAACCTGTTAGAGCCCATTTGGAAACACACAATGAATAGATACAGATTGCCTCGGAATGCTGTGACGAAGTACTGGGTAAATGCGAGCAGCTTACAATCGTGCGATTTGATATGATGCAATGGATCAAAGATGGCTCTACCCCCAGCCTCTGCTTCGACAAGGTCTCGGTTAAAACGAGTAATTGGGGGGGCTAGGAGGACAAGACGTGAGACAATCAATTCCCCAACGACAACAAGCAGGCCCGCGACGGATTGAGCAAGTTCAAAAACATAGGGATATTTTGGAGACTGTTCCAGTGTCACCATCCAATTTGTGAGGCAAATTGCCATAACTGCACACACACCAAGCGGCAGTGCGAAAACAACGACAGCCTGACAGGAATAGTGGTACGTGTTGAGTAGGACTTCGTTCATTTGTGGTAGATCTGTTCGAGGTTAGTAATCCTCATTTAAGGAGCGCGTTTTGTCTGTGTGTGTGTGTGGAGGCGTTTTAAATTTTTTGATCAATAATTCAAGTGGGTCAAAACAAGCTTGAAAAAAATAATGAGTGTTGGCGGTTTTTAGGCGTAAGCTTACCAATAGCAGTCGGTTTGAGGTGGTTTGTTTGATTATACTTGCACAGTTATCGCTTATTAGTTCCCATGGCGTGTTATTTCATTATGTTCACAGAGAACGCCATCACGCACATGCACGCATCTAACACATGGAAACAATTTGGTTTACCATGAACTTAATTGGCCCGATTTAAATCTACACTATGTATTGCATCACGTGCACTTTCCCATATGAGCGAAACCGTTGCCCAATAATTAGGGAATTGGTAAATCCAATGGTAGTTAAATTACACTAGAATAACAGAATCGTGTCTAAATCTCGAGTTGTGTTTATGACTGTGCGAATTTCAGGCTTACGAACTTGGGTTGTTGAGTACATGGCAAATTGCAAAACGCATTCTTCAAACCCAAATATGCAGGTGGTGCCACAATGCAGACTAAAGATTTCGCTCCACTTATGAATGTCCGCTATATCATTGGCCGAAAACGGACGTATATCTTCAAACTACCTACTTCATGAACAGTAAGAATAATCTTGTATTGATGCATCACATTAAGTTCTTGAAGAAACTGATTCTAACTAGAATGCAGCTTGAAGCAGCAAAAGAAATGAGCCTGTTAATTTTTACTCTTTTTTGAGGATAGAAAGTTATTTACCATGGCTTGAATTCACATTCAGGTAATCTAACAGTGTGCAGATTCCGAACGCGCTTAAGTGTCAAAGGCCAACGCCGAGACATCAGTCTTTACCAAAAAAGGAGGATTAGGGCAGCTAAGAGGGAAAAATTACCACTCTTAAGCATAATTCGAAAATATGAAAGGTATTGAGAAGGCTATAATTGTAAACAGTATAGTCTAGATTCATTTTAAAGTCGTACCTCACCTAAAACTAGGGGTTATTAAAAATGATGAAACAAAACTTTATTTTTGCGGCAGGGTGCACCATAAACCAATATTGCTACTGAATGGCATTTGTTGAAATCGTCCGATTATCATACACGCTATTAATTCAGTGATTTCTACTTTCTATTAAGAAAATCACTCTGATTTCTTAATCAACAGTGTCAGTAAATGTAAAAATTTTCAAGTTTCAGAAATT